TAATAATAATAATAATAATAATAATAATAATAATAATAATAATAATCCTTTATTATTAAACTTTTTTATAAATTTATAAACTGAGGTATCCTAATAGAGTAAAACTTTAAAGAAAGATTCCCCTATTCCTTATTCTCAGTCTTAAGCTAATTATACATTCAAAAGTATTTGCATAAAACTGAAGTCTCAACACCATAGTTTTGATGGAAAAGTTCACATGTTTCCATCTTCTTGCTTATCTTTGCAGTTTAGCATTGAATTATATCTGAAACATGAATACACAAAAGCAAAGATTCATTCTGATTAATGCATCAATCTGGTCAACGTTACCTTGTTTACAAAACACTATAACCCAAATTGCAAATGTCTGCCACTTCTACAAAAAAAAGAAGAAGTTCTGACTGAATTTTCGAAGCTTTCAGTCAATTTATTGCAACGTCAGAACATTGTAGTCAAAATAAAATGTCTATCTGTCTTTCTCTGCCATACATATGCATCTGGAAAAATAAGTAATTAATAAATGTGGTGTGCCATAAATGCTGAATGCCAAAGAAGGGAAGGAAAGGGCAGGAGAGAAATATGGGAGCAATACCTGAAATTTCTGATAAACTTGTTTTTAAACAGGACAAAATCGCTACCCTCAACAACCCCAAACAAGTCCAAAGAACTGCCCTTCCACAAGTAAGTTAAGGGAATCTGCTTTAGGCACCAACGTAAAAAAAGGTCAGGGGAATACATGAAGGTCAAAATTGGATGTTATGAGAAGACCTTTTCAAATGTTGGCCCTTGACAAGAATTGGCAGATGAGAAGAAGAAAAGGCTTAAACCACAAAATATTTTAGTCCTCCAATGAACCTTAAATCCTGTCATACTATTTAGATGACATAGAATAGCTGCAATCAGAAATTTCCCTTGGCAAAACAACAATCAGTTAAAAGCTAAAGAGGAGCCAGTTGCCTCCGCCTTGTTTTTCTTTAGCCTCAAAATGGGTGAAGTTGCTAGTCTCAATGAAGAAATACTATCAAGTAGTGCATCCTCTGAGTCCAATTATACTGCAATTCGCCTCCACCAAGAGCCCCAAGTTCATCTTGAATTTAGGTCTATCTTATTTTTAAACAAAAAACAGAGCTCATTCACACCTATCTTCAGCCCCAGAGCCATATTGTACCATATGCCTTGAGCTCAGAAGATGAATGCATCTGGCTATATACATGTTTGAGTCCAACATAAATCCTGAGGTGGCTTTGCGGCCTGGAATTGGTAGGTTGGGTTGCTAGAAGGGTTGATTAACTGCCATTGTAGTTTACACAGTGTGTCACAGACTCTCTGGATAAAGAGAAGAGCACCTAAAGCTTTAGCTGTCCCCTGAGCGAATTCTTTTGAGCTAAGCCTAAGAACTTTGGCAGCCTATCTGCTTGAGATGGGAATCTTGAACCGCAGTGATAGCTATAGCAAACCTTCACATAGATAATAGAGAAAGTATGTAGAAAGAAAAAGGAAAAACAGAAGAAAAAACTGCCCCGCACTTTTGCATTTGCCTCTGTGTTCGTTTTACAAAGAGAAGAAAAGGTTTTCTAGATTGTGATGCTAATATGGATTAAGGCTTGTATCTTCTCAGGTACAGTAGGCTTTAAACTTTAGATGGCATTACATGTACTTGCATATCATTCTCTGAATCTTAAGGTACAGCCAAATTGTAAAGGTAAAGTCTAACTTTTAAATTGAAAGTTTAACAGTACTAACCACAGTTTTTCCTGCCTTCAAAGTGACTCCTTTTCTTCTATTTCCCCCACCTCTTCCCAAAAAAATCAAAATGTACTTCATGAAACTATTGTATATGAAGCACTTATTAGCCATAATTAAATGGACAATATGAATTTACTACGTCTTTAGGACTCTGGCTTGTTCTGGTTTAGAGCAAGATGATTAATGCAAATACATATTACTTGAGATAACCATTTAGCAGCTAATTTAGCCAAATTTATTACAGCAGTTAGAGGTTTTTCATTTTAGCAGACGGAGACAAGGACATGCCAAAAGCAGAGATGTATGTGAATGCACACTGCCCTCTAGTGCACAGGATTTACAGGATGGAGAACAAATACATCCCAGAAGAAGAAATGCAAGCTGGAATAATAAGAATACTGAACACATTGCCTGTATTTCTGCCAAGACACATTGCTTCCTTATTTCAGCATATATGCTACTGTATGAGAGTTTTAAATTAGCTAAAACGCTATTACAACATTTGGCTTGGATATACTGGCTTGAAACATCCTTTTGAAGCATCTTTAAGCAAAATTTCACAGAACTTATACATTTTGCTTGTTCTTCCATTTCTGGTTCTATTTCAACATTGCAAATTCCTTGCTTCTTTAACATGCTTGATTCTTCAACTCCCTTAGGCCACAGTTTCTTCAGCAGTTCATTGGTTGATTTATTTTGCTCTGGTATTAAGCCAAGTCTCTACAGACACTCCTCCTATGACCACTGGAGATTTGGTTCATCTGAAGACTGTAAATTCTGTTTGACAAGATCAAAAGAAACAGATGTGTAAGTTCAGTAGTTGATATCACCTGCAATGAAGAGAAATGATCAAAGAACTAGGGTACCGTATCTTCCCAAACCTTTCAAATAGCCAGAGTCTCGGGGAGGTTTACTACCTAGCAGCTATGAATAAATCACATAGAAATTTAACATGTGTATGACACACACACACACACACACAAATGAAACAGAGAGAATTGTCCACAGATTTGGTGCTTCATGAGCCACAGCAAATTCTGCTTCTGATTGCTTTTCCCTTGCTTAGCCGAGCTGCCAACAGCAGATTAAAATCAAACTACAAATCAAGGCACTGCCTTCAACTCTTCCAGGCCTCCCAGAAATGATTTAATTGTTCTTATAATTGTGCTTTCTCTGAAATGTAGGGGACAAAAATCATTCCATTTCTTTCTACTGGTGTGGTGTGTGCTTTAATACAGAGCAATTGTGTATAAGTGCAATGCCAATGATTTTCCTTTTGCCTTTTGTTTCTTCCATTCAGTGCTGAACAAGGGTCAGTGTGTTACAAAATACTACCGTTGGATGCAGAAAAGTGGGGGCTACATTTGGATACAGTCTAGTGCCACTATCGCTATTAATGCCAAGAATGCAAATGAGAAGAACATCATCTGGGTTAATTACCTTCTGAGGTATATCTTTTTGCCACTTCAGTTATTGGCATTTTTGTTGTGACTACAGGAAACATATTGAAAGGATAGTGTGTAACAACAAATGCAAGGAACTCAATGTGAGACTGCTTATAATTAATGTGTACTAATGAATAATAGAAGCTTGGTCATAGGATAGATTGCCAGTCTGGATTTTGCTAAATCTAGGTAAAGCTTTAGCTTAATCAGGGTTGATTCATAGCCAACCTTTCTTAGGTTGATGCTAATGTTCCTATGTGCTAGGAAGCCAAGGCCCTTATTGTTTGTTGCAATTGTCAGTACAGAATCTATCGTAAAACTCTTAAATGCACTGCCCTTTTGTTTTCCAGACATGTTAGACATGTTGATTAAATGCCAGATGTTTAAGCTCTCTGAATTATATACATGGAAAATTAGGTGTGCTATTCCTTGAGAAATACAACATTAAGACCTTTCTGAACTTAGATCTTGGTGAATGCACACTGTGACCAGTAAAGATAGTTTATTCCCATTTTATCTGGGTGCTTTATGGGAAATGCCCGAATTTTATTTTTGTTGTCTGAATAATGGAAATCAAAACAGCATATTATTTTATTATATAGGATGGGATGGGATGGGATGGGATGGGGTGGGGTGGGGTGGGGTGGGGTGGGGTGGGATGGGATGGGATAGGATAGGATAGGATAGGATAGGATAGGATAGGATAGGATAGGATAGGATAGGATAGGATAGGATAGGATAGGATAGAATAATAAAATTCTTTATTGTCCAAATGTGATTGGACACACAAGGAATTTGTCTTTGGTGCAAATGATCTCTGTACATAAAAATACATTCATCAAGAATCATAAGATACAACACTTAGTGATAGTCATAGGATACTAAATAATAAGAGACATTTAAATTTAATAAATGTGCTTAAGTAAAGAAAATGGGAAATATTGTGCACTTCAATTATGTTCTCAGAATTCTTGTTGATTTAAATAAGTCTTATTTCTATTAAACGGGGTTAAGACATGTGGGAGCTTACAAGCAATTATTGGGAGGGAATGGGCCATGTGATTCCTTTTTTTTAACTCTTTCCTCTTGCAAAGACTGGGTCCTTATGTCAGGAGTGAGCTCAGAAAGAATTCACATTTCCTTTATTCCCAAAGAAGGGACTGTAACCTGTCTTTTCCCTCACTGTAATTTAATTGAGATAAAGAGGGAATCAGATGTTACTTAGTGCCCCAAGCACTTGTTGGAAGAGAATTGAACATAGCAAGAGGTATTCTGCTTCTGAGCCCAATTCTTTCCAGCCATAATGATAAATGAAAATCAGAGTTGAAATAGTTTCCCAGTAATTAAAGACTAGCACATATATAGACCCGCAGCTTGAGGAATCCACCTACATGTTACACATCTCCATAGTATTTGCAGATAACATAGGAGCATTCTGTCTCCTCTCCTACATGGATTAACCTCTGATACGAGTTGCAAAGTATAAGTGATTTTCCAATAAAAACAAGAGGGACTTGTAAAGCCTACCAGCTTCTCAAACCATCCTCCTGGATACACAATGGTTTTAGTTCTTTGGGAAATGTTTTTTTTAAAATCTTGTTACATGTTTTTACTTCATGTTTCCATGCTTGCTTGTAGAGAAGTATTACTGGGCTGGCATTATAGAAATACAGAATAACAGAGTTGGAAGAGACTAGAGCTAGGTTCCTACCGGTTCGGACCAGTTTGGCAGAGTAGGTAGTAACTCGGCTGACCACACCCCTGAACCGGTTCCATAGGCACCATCAACTTGTTTTTTGCTTCTGTCCATGTGCAGAAGCAATTTTTTACTACTGCGCATGCGCACATAGTGCACATCAAAAGTGTGCATGCCCGAAGCACGTCCCTGAACGAACCTGCAGTAACAGAAACTGGAACCCACCCCTGAAAGGGACTTACAATATATAACATGACACAGTTTGCATATGATAGTCCAGAAATTGTAAATAACAATTCCTCTGTGAGTTATGCCAAATAAATGATGAGGTCATCACAGTGGTGGGCTGCAACTGGTTTAACAACCAGTTCGATGATCATGCACTTTGTGAACACTTCGCGTGCCTAAAGCGCTTGCACACAGCATTCAAAATACAGCAATTTGAAGCTCAGCTGCTTACCTTCTAAGGCTGCCCTGGTATGCAGAAGCGCGGAAATCAGCTGTGCTGTGCAAATCAGCTGAGCCAGAAAGAAGGAAATATAGGACAGGATAGGGTGGGAGTGGAAAGGCTGGCCCAGCTGATCATCGGAACTACCTGTTCGTTCAAACTGGCAGCACCCCACCACTGGGTCATCATATACTGAAGACAGTAATAAACAATTCACTCATAAGATAGAAATAGCAGAAAACAAGGCTTATGTATTTTTTGGTTACTCAACAAAGAGTTATTATTTTGATGGATAATACCAGAACAAAAAGGACATATATTTTTAAAGTAATATTAATGAAAATTCTCCAAAGCTTTAAGAGTGAAGAACCAATATATATAATTACTGTTGTTGTGCTTAGGTGTCCACATAAGGATTACTTTTAATAGTGAAAAAACAAGATGGAAATTCTCTAAGTAAAACCCACAAACAAAAACCTCAAAACTGTACTACATTTCATCGCATGGCTATATTTGATTAATGTTAGCAGTTTATTGTATTATATTGTTTTTAATTACTTAGTTGCCAAAAAAGGGTGTGGGTGGGAGGGATGGAGGGACGGAGGAAGGAAGGAAGAGAGAGAGAGAGAGAGAATGCCTTTCTATGCTTTCTATTGTTTCAGGCAGTCAAAAGAATTTTGAAAAAAGGGGGGAACTATCATACTCCAAGTTATCATATATACGTGTACATGGTCTGTATCTTCTCTTTTAGCGATCCAGAGTATAAGGACACTCCAATGGATATTGCACAACTTCCACACTTGCCAGAAAAAACCTCAGAATCCTCTGAGACCTCTGATTCTGAATCAGATTCAAAAGATAACTCGGGTACGTAAACATTCATCTTGTACGTAGCTTTTTGGCATCATAGAAGCATGGTTCTTCTTGATTTATTTTAAAATTTATCCATACTTACAACCAAGTTAGAAACTGCAATTATAACTTACAAGTGGAGCTTACAAATTCTCATAAAAATGGGTAAGAAATACTGGGCTGGTTTGGGGCTGTTGCACTCTGGAAAAATCAAGTAGGAGTATTCTTATATCTATTCACTGTTGACTGGATGTCCAGATGACCTCATTGCTTAAGAGCAGCTACTGTCATCTCAGATTCATACAGCAGCTCTGTCCCTATTTGCATAGCAAGAGCCCAACATATGTGCTCTGTTAATCTCTTGGCTGGATTACTGCAAAGCATTTTATGGGAGGATGTCTTTGAAGATGGTTCAGAATATTTAGTTAGTCTAAAGCAGAGCTGCAGCTAGGACTGGCAAATAATATGTTGCTAATGTTTTATCAGCTGCAGAAACAATTCCAAGTCTTATTTGAAATATTAGCACTGCTAAGCCTTGGATAGTTTGGGTGCAGAGTATCCCAAGGAACTTCCTACTTCCTCCTATATTGAAATTGGGCAGATGTTTACAAAGAAAGAGCCTTCTTACCTGTTATAGTTCACTTATAAAAAGCTCTTTCTATGAAAGCACATTTTGCATCCACATGCCAATATTAAATAATGGCTTTGATATGGATGATAATCTTTCTGGTGCTATTCATGCATGGTATTTTACTCTTTATATATAGTTTTTCTGATCATACAAACATTTAGTAGCCTGTCCACAGAACTGTCATTACTGGAGAAATAATAACAACAACACAAGTCTTAGGTTCAGCTTGAGCATGTATGTTTTTTTCATTTTTTTAAACAACAGAATTTTGAACTGGGGGGAGTTAAATAACAGACAAATGCCGCTCAGCTCATTCTTGGTAAAACTGTCATTTTAAACCTAAAAGAAAATGTCTTTGCCAGCAATATTGCTAGTAACAATATTTCACCAGCCTCCAGGAGTCTAAGTGGGCTCTAAATCTTACACTCTTATTCCTAATGATGTTTTTCACTTTTCTTTCTACTCAGAGGACAATGAGAATTCAAAGTCGGATGAAAAAGGAAACCATTCAGAAAACAGCGAAGATCCCGAATCAGATAGGAAGAAGTCTGGCAATCAGTCAGATAATGAAATGAACTGTAATGATGATGGGAACAGCTCCAGCAACCAGGACAGCAGAGACAGTGATGACAGCTTTGAGAATTCTGACTTTGAGAATCAAAAGGCCCCCGAAGATAGCTTTGGCACGCTTGGTTCTATGCAGATTAAGGTGGAGCGCTATGTGGAGAGTGAGTCAGACTTGCGGTTACAGAACTGTGAGTCATTGACCTCGGACAGTGCCAAGGACTCAGACAGTGCAGGAGAAGTAAATGCCCAGTCTTCCAGCAAGCATCAAAAAAGGAAGAAGAGAAGGAAAAAGCAGAAAGGAGGCAGCGTGGCCCGGAGAAGGCTCTCAAGCACCTCAAGCCCAAATGGGCTTGACTCAGCATTGGTGGACCAGCCCCAGCTGCTCTCACCGCCAAACAGTGCCTCAGTGCTCAAAATCAAGACAGAGATCTCAGAACCTATCAATTTTGATAATGATAGCAGTATTTGGAATTACCCACCCAACAGGGAAATCTCAAGGAATGAATCACCTTACAGTATGACCAAGCCCCCCAACTCAGAGCACTTCCCTTCCCCCCAAACCAGCAGTAGTTTACATGTCTCCATTCCAGACTCTGTTCTAACCCCGCCAGGGACTGAAAATCCTGCCAATCGCAAATCTCAGTTCAGCACCTCATCTAACTCCGCCTTGGCTCCTGTATCCTCTGACCCTTTATCCCCACCTCTGTCAGCATCTCCACGGGACAAGCATCCGGGTGGCCCCAGCACTTCCAATTCTTTACTGTATACGGGGGATCTGGAAGCCCTACAGAGATTGCAAGCAGGCAATGTGGTCCTTCCTTTGGTTCACAGGGTAACTGGAACCCTTGCTGCCACCAGCACGGCTGCTCAGAGGGTCTATACCACTGGCACGATCCGGTATGCCCCAGCTGAAGTTACTTTAGCCATGCAGGGCAATCTTCTCCCCAACACTCACGCTGTTAACTTTGTGGACGTTAACAGCCCCAGTTTTGGCTTAGATCCTAAAACACCAATGGAAATGCTCTACCACCATGTCCACCGACTCAACATGTCAGGACCGTTTGGAAGTGCTGTGAGTGCAGCCAGCCTGACCCAAATGCCTGCAGGGAATGTGTTCACAACTGCCGAAGGACTGTTCTCGACTCTTCCGTTTCCGGTGTACAGCAACGGCATCCATGCCGCACAGACACTGGAACGGAAGGAGGATTGAAATATGACCACATACTGTGTTCAGTGTTAAACTCCGAGGCATAGACTATGTTTTAATTTAGACCTTTAATCCTAGCACTTTGAATTTGAGCAGGTCAGCTTATTCTCTCCATATGATGCTCCCCATTTCGTCCCCTTTCTCTTTAACTTGACTTATTCTTTAATGGGAAAGATACTTTTAATTTTGGCCTTCAGAGAACTGAAGTATCAGTGGCCTGCCATTTTGTCTTCTTCCAAGATGTGTATTTTTTTTTTCCTTTTGCATCTTTATTAAGATGCCTTTAATATGCGTATGCCTCTGCCATAAAATACTCAGTGTTGTGGTAAAGAGATTGTAAGAATGACAACCATTGGGTTTACTTTAAATTGATCTTGATGTGATCAAGGTTAAAAGAAACAAGCATAAAACAATGTGCCCTGTTTGACTAAGTCAAATGAAAAGGGGGGGTATTTGTTCCTAATTCCTTTAAAAAAATAGGGGATAGTATTTTAGAATTTTATGCAGAGTTTAATTCACTTTTTATGGTTAAGATTTTCTTACTTGCACATACAATAATTTGGGTTCTTAAAAAATTAATTTCTGGCCTGTGATTAGAATAATAAGAAGATGGACTAAATGTTAACTACAGAAACATTAACTTAATTTCTAAAACCATGGTGCTATCATTTATTAATCTGTAATGTCTTCACACAATATGCAGCTTGTGGGCTGGGTTTTGTTTTTTTTAAGGAATGTCTTCTGTGCTAGTCCATAGTCAGGTGCTGCAGTTTCCTTGGTTAGTTAAGACAAAAGCCCTCATTAACATTTGCTGCAGGACTTAATTTGTTTACCTCCAAACTAACAAGCCTCATATTAAATTTAAATGGATCTGGAAGACTTTTCTTTTAGAGAGTTGAGCGAATGTGCTGAAAAGAACAAGAAAATGCAGTGAAATTGACTCAAAGACAAGATTTTTTTTAAGGTGTACATTGTTTCTCTTTCTATTTTTTTATTCTCAGTAGAACTGAGGCTAATTTTACAACTTCCAAATAAGTGAATGTGAGTGAGATAATGTGTGTGTGTCTGTGTGTCTGTGTCTATGTGTGTGAATATGTGTATGTGTGTGTATGCATACTGTACACATACACACATGCACATATACATGTATGCTTAATGTTATAGAGGGAAGGTTGTATCTTTATTTTTATGTTTTGCTCATTGTTTTCTCTTTTGTAATACCCCTCCTCCTCCTTCTAGCGTTAAAGCCAATATGTTTTAACAAATGGGTTAATAAGCTTGAACTAGATAACTGCAACTAAAAAAAACTGCACATTAAGTAAAAACAAAAGAAAAGAAGTCTATTTTGTCTTTGTTGCCAGAAATCAATGTAGTGTCAAACACTCCAAATAACTGTCAAGTATAAATTCTTCTTCCACTCCATCTTTGGCAGCTGTTTGTTAAGGCATCTAATAACAGATGTGAAAACTGTAATGTGTACAATGTGTAAGTGTCCTTGGCTGTCAGTCTCATTGCAGTTTCAATGTGTGTTACTATATGCAGTATATACTAAGCTAATGTAGTTGTTTTGTCCTTTGTCTTCTCTGTGCTTTATCTCTAGTCTGGAGTGGCAAAGTCCCATTCCTACAGTCCTAGTGAACCAGTGATTCTTGGGGGTTAGTGGTTTTTGTGTGGTGGCCTTCCACTGTCTGTATACCTTTTCATTTCTGCTGTTGCTTTGCTGGTGTGTATTTTCAGACTTTTCTCTCCCTCTGTTTACTTCCAACCTTCACCTTTCTTCCCAATTTCTTCTTCTAACTCTTTCTCTCTTTTTCCATTCTCAGAGATAAAAGACTCTTAACTAGCTCAAGGTAATGGAGCCATTTTTCTCCACAGAGGAGTTCTGGGTATGTCTTGCTCATACAGTGTGCATCACACAATGCACTAAAGGATGATACTCAGACATATTAAATGAAGTGATGCCATATAGCCTCAGTTGTTAACATTTCCAGAGTCCCTTGTGCTCTAATTGTAAGTAGAGGGTGCATTTCTTTGGTGTTCTCCCAAGTTGGTTAATGGAATAATACAGAAAGAGACAGAAAATTCTTGGAGTGCTCAACCAATGTGGTTCAAAAGCAAAGCTGAGCTTTGGATTGTCAAATATATATTTTTGCATACCTGTGCAATTTATTGCTGATGTATTTTAGCTCAGCAGTTCTCTACATAGTGGATGACCCTTTGTGTTGAAATGAAGCCGAGTACAGTGGGGTTTGAATTGGAGAAGTAGAGATGAGAAAGAGTGGGATAGAGTGATGCCCACAAAGGGCACTGGATGTCATAAAATTTGATAATGAGCTTGTAAAGGGTTAATTTGAAAGATTTTAGGTAGATTCCAAGGCCAAGAGAAGCTAATTTGGGTTTTGCTTTGGAAGTTCTAGCTGTTGAACAATCAAAGGAGTGCACCTATCGGCTACAAAGACAGCTAGACAGCTGTTGTTGCTTTATTTTATTTTATTTTTTATAAATGTTTCTGTGTTGTGTCGAAATGATTTCTGGTGATTTAACCTAACAGATAATCACAGCTGCTGTCTAAATCCATAGTGTTTAAAATTACAAAATGGAAAAAAAAACTTCATTACCTGTGAAAGACTGTGTCTGTGTTTTTAACTATTTCTTGTACAAATATATGAAATCTTTTATGAGGAGACTGGTGCCAAGTAGCTGAATAAAGGGGAAAGGGATTCTGTTCGTATAAATCTTAGCAGTGTTACCAACTCTACAATATATATAAAAAAATTAAAATGTTTAAAAATGACAGCTATGGTACATTTATTTTGTGTTAACCTAACCGAATCTAACTTCTTGAGTGCCTGGCTTATTCGAAACATTTTTTTTCATTGATCATTGATAATGCTGCAAATCAGAAATGTACATACTTCATTTACAGCAGGGTTCTTTTTATACTTTTGTAGATTCTCATACATGTCATACATGGTTGTCTTTATGTAACTTAATTTTTTTCATCCTGCAGGTGCCATTTTCATAATAAACTTCTCTTGGATTTGTTACTATCTGGCATCATTTCTTTTACATACGATCATCCTGATTAATTAATGCTGGTAGTATTTGTTTAAGCAGGGTACCTTGTTTGAAAGCTTTTAAAATCTAAAAAAAAGAGGATGTAACTAGATTATTTTTAAAGTTTATAAGCTTTTCAAAGTGACCTATGTAGAAGCAGGCTAACAATGCTAATCCAAATACTACACTAGATGTGCCACCATCTTAAATTCTCAGCTACCCCAACTCATTATCATACTGAGCATTTTATGCACATTATCAAAGCTGAATAATAGGGCTGAAATGTTAACCATGGCAAAAAGGGTGACTTCAGAGAGCAGCTTGTCTATGCTGATCACCAAAAATACAGATTTATTCTTTCATATATGATATCAATATGCTTAAACTCTTTGTCACTCATATTCTATTTAGGCATTTGATTTTATACATCACCCTGTAAATTGGAAGACAAATACCTCATGTTTTCATACATTCTTATTAGCCAGAAACGAGAGACAGAAGAGTTTGCCAGAACACAAAAACGGGAGTTGACTTCAGGGTAAAAGCGCACACAAAAATAGGGCTCAAAGTCATACAGATGTATTATCATTTAAAGTGAACAATTGACCAAAACTTCAAAAAGATATGTGATTGTATCATAACATTTTTGGATAAAGTGAAACAGATTGAAATGGTAACATTAAGAGCTGCTACTGATATGTTGATGTTTAAGTGGGATGTAATATTTCAGCCCATATGAATTCCTACACTTGAACATTGGGTGTTATCTAACAAAATGAAATTCAATGGTGAAAAAGTAAGGTTCTACACTGAGGCAAGAAAAGCAAAATGCACAGGTACAGTATAGGTGGTACCTTGCTCAATAGTAGTAACTGTGAGAGGGATCTTGGAGTCTAGCAGACAATCACTTTAAATATGAGCCAGCTATGTGCTGCAGCTACCAAGGAAGCCAACACAGTTCTAGGCTGCATAAAGAGAGGGACAGAATCAAGATCATGTGACATGTTAATACCACTTTATAATGCCTTGCTAAGGCCACACTTGGCATTCAGTTTTGGTCGCCACAATGTAAAAAGATGTTGAGACCAAAAGCGTGCTGAGAAGAGCGAAACAAAAATGATTAGGAGACAGGAGGCTAAAACATATAAAGAACAGTTGCTGGAACTGGGTATGTCTAGTTTGATGAAAAGAAGGACTAGAGGAGACATGATAGCAATGTTCCAATATCTCTGGGGCTTCCTCCAAAGCACCTGAGGGCAGGACAAGAAGCAATGGGTGGAAACCAATCAAGCAGAGAAGGAATTTAGGAATAAGGAGAAATTTCCCAACAGTTAGAACAATTAATCAATGAAACAACTTGCCTCCAGAAGTTGTAAATGCTCCAACACTGGAAGTTTTTAAGAAGAGATTAGATAACCATTTGTCTGAAATGGTATAGGGTTTTCTGCCTAGGCAGGGGGTTGGACTACAAAACCTCCAAGGTCCTTTCTAACTCTGTTATTCTATTCTATTCCACTGATTTGGGCAATGTTCCTGGTACATTGGTTTATACACACTATATGACAAAAGTAGCAGATATTCTTACTGAATTTTACTTATCGACGGCACCTTTACCATTAGCCTCACAACTCTGGGAAATGGACTGAAATTTTAATCTGAAAATAGGCTTAATTTTAGCAGTAAATTCGCAGTGGAAGTTTAATTTTGAATGTGAAAGGAAACAAAAACAAGCTCAAAAGGAAAGTTCTTTGATTTTCATTTGAAGCTAAATTCTCAACTTGCTGATTTTCTTAGGTTTATTGAAACAAGAGACAGGCTGGCCCCTATGCTATGCATGAAACGATTATCGGTATGTCCCAGGAAAAGGAGATTAGAAGGTTGTTTATATGATGTGCTTTCTAGGGTGCAGAAGAATTTATTTCTGAACTTTTTAGTTATTTGTAGGATTTAGGCTGTTTCCATATATTTAATTTTTAATAACTGCATGCACATAATTATAACTGATACATTTTGGAGGATTAATACATGACACGTGCTATAATGCATATGTGTGTGTTCAAAAATTAAATAATTTCTGTTTATGCTGATAATCTGTTTATCCTGATAATCTTGCATTTGTACATTAATGGACTGAGGTTTTTAATCATCTTCAGCTCAACCAGCTGTTATCAGAATTTAATGTACTAAAGCAAGGGTGTCAAACTCGTGGGCCATGGGCCAAATGAATCACATGCTGGCCACTCCCATCCCCATTTTAAAGAAGGGGGGAAAAGTTGTGATATGTCTCGTGATGACAAGGTGCCGTTGTGAGTTTGACACCGCTGTATTAAAGAAATTTAAAGCTATAAACTTATCTACAATTATATGGTGGTAAATGCCATTCTATAAAGCAGAAAATATTTTTTGAATATTTAGGCTAGGATCAGTATTTTTAATGCTCAGGTTCCAGTTTTAAGAGAAATATTTCTGCAACAGAGGTTCAATTAAGAACTAGCAAGTAATTACTTCAACTTTAAATTATGAATTCCCATAATTTTATCTAAATTTTATTATGAATATGAAATACGTTGGTTAGCTTGTCTATTCTGCATGGTATTTAACACTTACAAATAATTTGAGGTCTCTAAGACCTTCATCAAACAATAGATATTTATTTGACATTTTTAAATATGTAAATATAAACATCTGAAACTCAGGCTTGTCAAAAGCAAATTGCATGGTCAAAAATGTATGTTTGCCTCCTTCTCTTACAGATTGTTTATGCTGGGCATTGAGTTCTGGAACAATTCTTATATTTTCTACCAGAACCTCTTCTGTTCTTCCAAGTCATTACAGATAATTTCCTGGGCAAAAAGGTTGCAATTAGTTTTCAGATTGCCAGAGAAATATTGTGAAGCCACAATCTCAGGCCTGCCAGCATCTCCATTTTTGACTTGCCAATGTAATATTCTAGAGTTAGATGTTACATTTCTTGCTTAAATTCATTTGTTTCTCAATGCAGAATCTGATTCCAAGTGTATAAATTAACTACATTTGCAATGAAATTGTGCTGAAAGTTACATTAAATTTCAGAGAACTGCAAAGGATGTACAGTAGTCACAACCAAATTTCAAAACAATAATGTATTTATAGAAAGTATTATTGCCTTTTATACTTTATAATACTTAAAATGAATATAACTTATAGCAGTACAATAATAAAACAAGTTAGAGCCAACAGTCTTATTGTGGAAACAGCAAAGGAACATAAGACTTTGGAGAGTGCATGAATTACCTAGATATATCTCAGATCTGAATTTGGAAGAAAGGAGATTGAGAAAGATCAAAAGGTCAAGAAGGCAGCCTTAACTATGAGCACTGATCCCCTGCTCCTTTTACTTGTGTAGCACATATAACACAGATAAAGCAGGTAGAGCCTTCATCACAGTAAATTTGACATCTTTGACCATTCACAAACTATCTGCACATGACTTGCTCTACTTCATACTCAACTGATGGTCATAAAATGCTAGAATTAAGTGTGGCAACTTGCTTTCTACAGGTATGTCATAAACAAAGTTTGCAGTTCCTTGCAAATTCCTTCTTTCAAATCTGTTCTATATTATTTATTTATCAAAAATATTCTTTTGCTATTCTTTCTAGAATCTCAATCTTCTCACTGATTCCCAATCCCTAAAAAAATTGTATCTTGGTTATAGAGAAACCACTCTCTGCAATCACCCATGGTGATTGTCTTGAAGCAACTATTCAGAATTCGTAACATCATGAAAAAGAACAGAAGCATTCCTTAACTCCTGGGAAGAGAGATAGTATTAAGAAGAGACTTGAGCTGGTTCTTCCCTGACTCAGTGGAATATAAAAGAGAGGGGATTCTATCACTATAACTACTATATTAAATATAATTATAGTTGAACTTGTTTCTGGTCGGATTCTCTCTCTCTCTCTCTCTCCTCTACACAAGTGATAACTACTCACTGGGTTCACAGTATTAGAAACTATGAAAAATTATTTGAGAACTCCATTAATAGATATGCGTTCACATAAGCAAGTTATAGGATTGGGAATAGCAGGTCGACAGACAGACACATGAATACAGATGTAACAAAAGCCACTCTTACCTATTGCCACCCAAAAACACTGGAGAAATAATTTCTGGTTTTTGAGCTACAATTAAGTTTGGCTGGAAGCTCAGATCTCCTTTTATCTGAGTCTTGGTTTTGAATCGTTGCTGGGTGATGCTGCTGATATATTATTTTCTAAAACCAGGCTGAAGTAATACAAGAAAAACAAGACAGGCCTGTCTCAACATCTTTGAAAAATCAAACGGAGGGGGGGGGAATCAGAAGATTAAATACCAGCTTTTTGCTGGCGTCACTACAAAGCGATTGTGTAGTACAGTGATTATGTAGTGTAGTGATTGTAAAACAATCACATTGGGACTGTCTACTATGTTGTGGGTTAACAGGCATTCTATGTAGTGATTTCATTAATGCTCTTGTTTCCTTTTTTTATGGGAGGAAAATGAGGCAGGCTGAAAATCAGCATGTCATTTAAAAGGTACCAAGATAAGGCTCATACGGTGCTCATAAGAGCCTGATTTTTGGCAAGGAAGTGGGATACCAACATTTTTAAAGTAAGAATGCAACCAAAACTGGGAAACAAAAATGCACATATTGGGCACAAAAGAACACAGGTCTCAACCAATGCATATGGCAATTGAAATTGAATAGCATATTGCCTTTTAACTTATTCCTTTCTCTTAAGATTTTGTTTTTAAATGTGATATGTTTATAGTGACATGCTGAGATTGTCCCTAAATATTCTCAGGAAAGGCTCATTTCCAAGCCCAAGCCTTTCTCAAAGAATCCTCAAAGAACAAAGTAGGCTTTGCATTTCCAAGGAGGATAGTTCACCTCTGATGTTTAATCTAGGTTTGCCCAAAATAATTACATGCATTTCACCCAATTTTCTCAACCTATTTGATCAGCAACACA